GATTCCTGTGTCAGCAGCTTTCAGGTTTGGATTGGAGAAATAGTGATGATGAGGCAGAAGTCAGGGTTAAAAATCTTACCTGGGTAACTTGGGGAGGGGGCACAACTCTTAGGCCACTAGGGTAGGGTCGTGAGGTCTCGGAAAGCTGACAAGGTGTCATTTTGGTATCTAGCAGGCAGTATATCTCAACTCAGTTTTGCGGAGGATATTTCTGCTGATGAAGATGACCAGCCCCTCAGTCAAGGGAGGCATAAGAAAAAAGGGAATAAGCTTTTAGAGAAAACAAACTTGGAAAAGGAGAAAGGTAAGCTGTGGAGCTTGAGAGCAGAGAGGCACAGAGGGAGGGTGCAGTGCAGCCCCTGGGCGCTGGCATTAGGGAGACCAGAGCTGGTGTCCTCATAGAGCATGAGCAGAAAAGTAACAGCTGGAAAGGAGAGATCTATTTTCCGGGCATTTCATTATTTCCGTGGAACCGCTCCTCAGCCTTACTCAACTAAAAGCTTACAGAGGAATGAGGAGGAGGCTTGGGACAGTGCTGGAGAAATGCTGCCCTTAGGGCAGTCGTGTGATGGCTGCTCTGGATCTGTGGGCTTAAAATTGTAGAAATCTGACTATTTTGGTTCTGTTTATACTGAAATGGACGAGGGCCTCTAGTCACAGCAGGGCATGGAGGAGATGGGACTGGAGGACAGAGCTAGAGCTTCGTGCACTGAGGGCATCATGGAGGACAAAAACTTTTCTGGTGGTAGAATGTCAGAAAATTCTGCCAGTCACGCCATCACAGAGTCACAAGCAAGACAGAATTTCACCTGTCATTAGGGGGCTTGTTTACTGGTTTATGTGTCTTTATAGGACACAGAGTCTATCTTGCTTGTCAGAAAATTCTGCCAGTCACGCCATCACAGAGTCACAAGCAAGACAGAATTTCACCTGTTATTAGGGGGCTTGTTTACTGGTTTATGTGTCTTTATAGGACACAGAGTCTATCTTGCTGAGGAAGAGGATAGCGAAGACAGTGTTCAAAAGAGAAAAAGGAAAAAGAGGAAGAAGAGCCACCTCCCACCTCAGAGTGCAGGCCCAGGGGATGAAGCCCCATCCCTAGCACAGAACGGAGGCAGGGAGCCTGAGGCTGTGTCCAGCACCGGGGAGGAGAGTGGCTCAGAGCATCCCCCCACCATCCCCATGCACAGCAAAAGGAAGCGACTGAGGAAGAAGAGCATGAGGGCCAGCAGGGACATCTTGGAACTGGCAGTATCACCTCTAGAGGACACATCTCAAAGTGGCCCGAGCAGTGGCCATCCACGGGGGCCTGCCACCAAAGGTGCCCCAATAGGTGGTGCCCACGTCCTGAAAAGGAAGCGGAAACTCAGAGCTTTCCCAATCAGCAGCAGTGGCCTGACCATGCTGGCCTGGCCCCTGAAGCAGAAGGGAGCTTCTCCAGCAAGCCCAGCAGAGGGAGGAGATGGCCAGACCACCCTGCCCTGCAAGAGGCTACAGAAGAAGGCAGAGCCCAGCAGCCTTGACCTCCATGCCCCATGCAGTCAGAAAACAGCAATCTTGAAAAAGAGGAAGAAAATGAAAGAGATGTCAAACTTGCTCGAACACAATGGAGTATTGGAATCCCAAGTCAGGCAAATCCAAGCTCTGGTAAGGTGGGAAGGGCCCAGGGGCAGGTGTGCTGAGACTCTTGAATAGAAGTGTTCAAGGCACCCCACTGCCTCCCATGGGCAGGGGTGGGGGGACTGGTCAGACCTCTGGACTAAGCAGCGGTTAAGAGTAGGTCATGGCTTAACCTTCACTAACGAGTAAATAACAGGTGACCATCTCAGGGGCCAAGTACAAGTCCTCCTCATCTACCCCTTCCCTCCCCCAGGCCATGCACTCAGAGGTTAGGGAAGATCAGCATCGAGCCGGGAGGAGTGTCCCCACAGGCCAGCAGTGTGGTGTGAATGGCAGCCGTGCACCTCCCACCAATGCTGCTCATTTTCTTCATCAGCTCGTGGCCAACTTGTGCCCCTTTGACAAGAGAGGAGGCCCACAATTCTCGTCTCACCTTTTGTTTGTTTGTTTGTTTAACACAAACCCACTTTTATTTATTATTTACTTTCATTTAAATCCTTTAGTTTAAATCCTTGAGGGGTACAGCATCACACAGATTCTGCATCCAATTGCCTTAGTAGGAAGGTTGCTTCAGAATTTGACAGGAACCATGCCACTGTTCCACGAGCATGAGTTCCTCTCCCCAGGTTACTCTGGTTCTGTTGGATTGCCGCCAGGAGTCCCCATGTGGTTCTTTGCTTTGTACACATAGCACACCTCTTGCCCAAGCAGAATTCAGTTTCATCTTGGGCATGAGCACCGTCAGTTTTAAGAAGAGCTGTGTGTTCCTTTGGTTCCGGAGACCCTGCTTATAGCTAGCAAAAATGGCCTTGGACCACGGCCTTCCAGACATACTGCCTTTTAGAAGTCATGTTCCCAGCAGGCCTCCACAGGTGGTGGAAAGGCCTCACCTACCTTTTTTAATGAAAAGACTTTCTTCTCTCTGGGCCTCTGGAGCCAGATGTGAGCAAGGATGAAGCTCTGGATCTGCTTTCCACACCCCCTCTGGACGTGCCATGCACATCCGCGCCAGGGTCGGCAAATGCCGTTTCCTTGGGACAGAGCCATACTCATTCATGTACACAGTGTGTGTGTGACAGCAGTGTTGACGGTTGTGACCCTTGGTCAGTACCCACGTTTCCACGATCCACACTGCAGTGGTTGTCGCACTGAGGCCTTTACTTAGGGGGCCTGGTTGGACTTGGTCAGAGGCCGACTCAATGCTTAGGTGAGTGAGTGTATGGTCAGTAGAGAGTCTTGGCAAGGGAGAACAGAACACCAAGTGGGACTCCAGGGGAGTTGATTTCTAGTCTTGGGTCTGTCCCTCACTGGCAGTATCACCATCGTCACCTCCCTTTACTATGCAGCCTCTGCCCTTTGCTCGCTGTTCGTTCATTGCGTTTTCTTCACTAAGAAGAGCAAACATGTCTCCATTCTCCTGGTCCTATTTCTCAGGCCCTGACATCCTGTTTAGGGCATGGTTGCTAAGTAAGACCCAGGGTCAAGAGAGGTTTTTCCTCCCCACAGGGGAGACGTGTCTGCCAGCAGAGGCGAGCAGCACAGGAGAGGGATTCCGGAGCTGTCCTTGCCTCATTGTGGGCATCCCAGCTCTGCTAAGGAGAGGCAGCAAACTCTTCTGAGCCAGGAGCAGCGAGAACCTGCTGAAACCCCCATGTGACATCGATGGCACTGGGCTTCCCAGATGCCTGAATCCTATAACAGGAACCAGGGCTGTGCTGTGGGAAGTTGTTAGGTACAGTCTACCCCATGTCTGTCTGTCCCTGCCTGTAAGGGGCCTGCTGAGCCTAACTGGGATGTCACATGCACCCTCCATTCATTTAGTCGCCCTTGTGGGGAGGAAAAACCTCCTCTGACCCTGGGACTTATTTATCAACCATCCCAGTCCTCCCTAAAACAGGTTACCAGGGCCTGAGAAACAAGAGCAAGAGAAAGGAGACATGTCTGCTCTTCTTAGTGAAGAAAAAGCACTGAATGAACAAACGAATGAATGAATGCCAAACTTGCAACCCAGTAATGTCTGTGATCACAGACGGCCTGAGAAACAAGAGCAAGAGAAAGGAGACATGTCTGCTCTTCTTAGTGAAGAAAAAGCATTGAATGAACAAACGAATGAATGAATGCCAAACTTGCAACCCAGTAATGTCTGTGATCACAGATGGGAAAATGAATCATTATTTAACAGATGGGCTCTGAAAGGCAAAAATATTCAGAACATGGGGCCTAAGTCTTAAGGTGAAGTTGATAAAAACAGGTTCTTGTCTCTGAGAAGACCTTTTCATCACCCCTGCTGGTGGGGCACCATGGTAGAGAACCGGTCACTGTGTGTGTGTGGGGTTTGCACTCTGCTAAGTAAAGGTTCCTTTGCAAACCTAGCACAGGAGACCACGGGTGTGGGCTGTCCACACTGGTGTGGTGGGCTGCCTCCTGCAGTTGTGCCACCTCGCTGTCCCGGTTTCACCTCCCTTGGGCGTGGGCATGACATGAGACCTCTGGAAGTTCTGTCGTGCAACCCCTTCCCTCTCTTCGCTTCTAACCCTTTGCTCACATAGGGAAGCAGTGGGACCGTCAGCCCTTTGAGGAAGCAGCAGCAGAGGACAGAGAGCAACTTTGTGAAGTTTGACACCCCCTTCTTACCAAAGCCCCTGTTCTTCAGAAAAGCCAAGCGCAGCGGTGCTGCCTGCTTCTCAGATCCCTCCATCCAGGTACTTTCCCTCCCCAGAGGGGTGCAGTTATTCCCACAGAAAGATTCTGGGTGCCAGACCTTGGGCCCTGCTGTGGCCCTCCTGTGCCCAGGTGCACCCCAGCAGGTGTGTTAACCTATGATCCTGCCCGCAGTGGGCATTTCCTGTTATAGGAGCCATATGCTCAGCCCTGGTAACATTGTGGGTGTTTCTGGGTGGTCTGTTGCTGACCCTGAGCAATCAAGGCTGGGAGGAATTTGAAGTGCTATTGGTGACGCACAATCTGGAAGGAAGAAATTTGAGGAAGTGCTTCATAATACATAACAGATCAGCTTCTAGGAATTTTTCAAGTAGAAGAATGTAGTTAATTTTGATGAACTATTGGAGGCCTTGTACACAAATAGTTGGAAAATCTACATCCCTTTGCCCATTGATGTTAGAGTCCACCATAGATGTAGTCTAATCAGTTTCATGTAATCTTCAAGTTCAAACTTCAAAACTCTGGGACAAAAAGAATAGGCATTAACATCTATCCTTATAGTTTTTTAGTGGTGACTCTTTTCCTGTCCTTCAGAGTGTTTCAGACATCCTAATTTTGTTTTGCTTTCTTTACCGGGAGCACAGAGCCTTGTGGCAAGTGATAGGCGGGTAACTGCAGAATGGCGCTGACGTCCCCATGCCACCCCTCGCAGAGCAGAGCCAGGTGTGCGGGTAAAAGCACTTCATTGGGGCTGACTGGTTAGCTCTGTTCTGTGATCAGAACATGGTGCTGATGACACCAAGGT